CACAGGGGACAGTACCACAGCTCAGTGGAGTAGACTGACTGTGTGTAAGGAGCTATTCTTCCAACTTTAAAGATTCAACTACTCACAGGATTTTCTCCACACAGCTATGTTTCATCTCTAGCCAAAAATTACAGTATTTTAGGAACCTTCCCTATTAGGTGTTAATAATTTTCATAACTAATTTTTTCCTGTACTGAAATTACCTACTTGCATTTCTCCTAGTGATACATCAATAGAAAAATAAATAGAACAAGGATGAGTCTTGCCTCCAAAATACAAGTGTTCAGTGGAAATCTTTCACAGCGGTCTCAGGATAAAGCAAAGACACTCTGGGCTGTCCAATCATGGCATGGAACATCCATTCTTAGTCACCAGTCAGAGACATCACATATTTTGGGACAGAGGCCAGAGAATGAAGTATTGTGATTAACTATGACTATTTTACCAATGGCATCTTCTTATGGAGATGAGATTGTTTAGTTAGGAGTTATATATTAGATTAGAATTGACTACTTGTCCCATCACATACAGTAACATGACCTGTTATTTTGCACTTTGTTAGTGAAAAACTTATTAGAATGAATCCATGAAGAAAAAGTTAGATTAGAATTTTATACTTCAAGTGGCATTTTAATTGGAAGAAAAAGAACTTACATAAAATGTTGTTTTGGAGAGAATTACAACAGTGACAATACTATGCTGTTTTTAAACGTTTAGATTTTTTATTTTCACCATTTTTATGTAAAGTAAATTTGGATTAGAATTTCAGGTGATCATTGCCAATCATATCTTTTGTAAAAAATCACCTCTTTCCAGCACCCAAAACCTGAACGTTAAAAAAATTAACTTCTGGGGAACTTCAAATGAAGCAAAATATCCTGTTCCTACCCGGTGGAACTCAAAGTACTCCTTGTTAAACCTGATATGCATGGTCAGAGCCTCCTGTGCCTCCTCTGCTGTGGGTTGGCAGCAGCCTCTCCTGGGCTCACTAATGGTACAGTGAGCTACTACTGTAACAGTGGCAGCAAAGACACCAAGATCTCCCTCCTATCAATGGATTTTACCTTTCAGCTGCCCACCTCACTTTATGCAACCTGCAAGAGCTATATAAGATCTTACCTGGCAAACCTGTCTTGAGGTCCAATACCCTCGTGTAGCCTGACAGAATGTCCATTCTCCAGGACCTTGGGTCTGATGAGGTGTTTTAGCTAACAGAGAGCTGACGCCTTGTTTGAGTGGTGTCCTGCACACCCACAGCTTCAGGAAAGCTGTAGCTGATAAGAGCAGTACAAAATAACAGCATCCATGACAGAATACTACAAAGAAAACCATTGCGAGGATACATACATGAACTGAGATTTTTACAGTCCAAGAAGCCAATAGGAGAACATCAGAGAAATATATTACAAAGGGTAGCATGGAGGCAGGTAAGACACGCTTTGCTGTTTTAAATTAAATGATCATCAGAATCAATTAAATAAAAGAATAAGGTTAAAGAAACACTTTTTTTTTTTCCAAATAGCAAACATGAAAGAAAGGGAGAGTCTCGTCATTCTCTTAGGTACCCACAACTCTATTTGTTTTAGGAGCAGGGAAGAAATCTTCAGACTGAAAAGACAGCCTTGTTTAACTCTGGACCCCAGTTTAAACTGCAAACCAAGCTAAACAGCAAGGAACAAACACATTACATTTTTCTTCTCTGCTTTTACAAAGGGGTGGAAAGGAGAGTCAGAAAAGAGGAACATGGTGGTGATGGGAGCTGAGCCAGCAGCTGGAACTCCTGTCAGCTAACCCCAAAGCTGCTTATTGTCCGACAGGAAAACCACTGCATATCACCTACTTCAGTCTTGCCTGCTCCAACTAGACATTTTTTTTTGCTCTGGAAAACCTGTGACCAGAGGACAGTGCCAGTGTCTCCATCTCTGTGACACCCTTCTCTGGCTGGTGGCCTTGAAGCTGTGGAATTGTCCTAGCAACAGTGGAAACAACCATTAAGAAGAAATCTTAAAAAGCAGTGATAGAAGGAAAGCAAATACTCAGAATTTTTAAGATGTTTTCTCCCTGTAACATTTCTACATTCAACCAGTATCAAACCAGCCAGAGAGAAAGCCCGTACCTTATCTTCTAAGCCACATTTTTCAGTAATTTTGGACAGGTGAGCTTGACTGAGAACTCAAAAAAATTTGACTGCCTGCTGCCAACTGTGGTGGGCATGCATACCTATGTCCTTATTGTAAGTCCCAACTCTGAGCTACAACGATACTGTAAGGAAAAAAGAACAGACACTGAACAGTTAAGCATTTCCACCACAGCCTTCCAGCCCCGTTGAACAGGCAGAGAGGAATAAAGGGTCCACCAAAATCAACCTTCAAGAGTTGCTGTTGAACAGTCCATATCCAGTGAGGGAACACTGCTCCTCTACTGGAGGAGACACAGAGTTAGATGCTATTCCATTAACAGACACCAGTTTCTTAGGTGCTCACCAAGCAGACACATCTACTCCTCTCACCGGTGATAAGGAGAAACTACTGAGTCTGAGTTTCTGTGAGTTTATCTCGTAGCTTGGGTAGAAGTGGAAAGTTCAGCCAAGACCTTTATGTTCCCTCTAAAAAAAGCTCTTTGTATGCTTTTACTTGTGTCTCTTTGTTTTAAAGAGAAGATCAAGAAGTACCAGGGCCAGCACTGGTTGTCACAGCAGGAACAAAAAACATTGGTTAGAACTTTTGTCTCCAGGTCTTGTTTCCGTGTCGGTTCTCTGATGTTTAATGAGAGCTGAACTCGTATTACAGCCTTTTCCTTGGAAGAGATTAACTAGGTCTTTTTTTTTTTCAACACCTCTGCCTATTTCAACAAAATGTGTAGCTTCCTGTTATCTGTTAAGACATCATGAAACCTTGACCTTCTGTTACACTTGGTCATATTGGCTACTAATTAAAGTATTAGAAAGAGATAGATAACAGGTAGGACACACAATGAATGCAGAGAAAACCTATTTCCACTATTTCTCCACTTCCTCTTCCCATAGATATGCAGGAGGCTTGCAGCCAGGAACACCAACATCAGGTAAAGGGATCCTGTGAAAAGACGGGGCCTCTTTCCCTTTGCTGCCTCAACAAATCGCTCCCTACAGCAAGAGACAGCCTCTGACCATATAACCCGGCAGCTGTTTTCAGCTCCTCCCTCCATCCAATTTGCTGCAGCACAACAAAGCACTCCAAAAATAACATTTATCTTTAAAAACTGGAAAATGGCACAAACCACCCCAAAGAAGAGAATGACAACGGCATGAGTTCAGCGCGGGATTGTGAACTGATGCTCCCCGCCAGGGATGAGAAACTTCTCGGAAAGAGACTGAATGGAACCAGATTGAATGAAAGTGCCAGAAACCGCGGCCATGGACGGCCAAGTCCTGCCGAAAGGATAACTCACCCGCCTGTCAGTCCTTCGACAGGGCAAGGGCAAGGACTGTGTCACGGTTCTACAGCTAAACATGCCTGTGCTTTGCAAGGCTGCACGCACAACAGGCTGGAACATGCACGTTAAAGGAGAAATTTAAACACGAGGAATATTTCCAAATCATACCTTTAAAGTTGGGGATCAGCAGAGCTTGAACATCTGATTTCAATTCTAAACGATTTTTGATTAGTGGGTGTTGATGCAGTACCCCAAATACACTTCCAGTTTCTGTTCAAAATGGTATTCGTCAGTAATGATAGAGCTGTTATGTATGAACTGCTAAACAGAGGCCACAGCACCACTGCTGAAGGGACTAAAAGTTGGACTAAGCAGAGGAGAAATAAAATCAATCATCTTCACTGAATAGACAGAACCAGATTTGCCACTACCTTCCCTCTTGTATAACTATGTAGATTATGTCTGTGTAAGGTAACTTTTACAAAAATGAAGTTATAAAGGAAAAATAAATCCACCTAAAAAAATTTCTTGCCTCTGAAGAACTGAAAGTAATTTTAATTTGTAAAGTAATAAAAGCTCAATGCCAAATTGTAATGTTGAAATGAAGACAGGTTTTCAGAAGTGGTAATTTCTGATGTAATATTTGAAAGTGATCAATTCAAATTCTGCTTTTGAAAAATTTTCTGAGCTTTTGATCTTGCTCCAAGTTTAGCCCAGAACGACTATTTTATGGCTAACATAAGAAGTCTCAAAAAAAAGTGATTTATAATGGAAACAGAGAAAATAAATCACTATTTGAGAACTTTTTAACACACCACAGATTAGATCCAGAAGGTCAGACAAAGCTGTCACTGAGTTTGTAAGCTTTCCTGATGCAGCTGAGGACCACAATACGCAGAAGAGCAAATTCAGTTAATGAACCTGATCAGATACACACAATGACTCCTGCCTTCCTTGAAGAGGCACTTAAAAACTATGATCTACAAAGATTCTAACATGACCATAGTCAGCGACCTGTGGCAAGTCGAGAAGCAGGGTTCCCCTGGCTGGAGCAAGTAGATGCATTCATCAATGCCCTGCTGAAGAATATGTGACCATATTTGACCACCAAAATGAGAAGGACCATTAACATCCTGAATTAATGGGCTTAGTGGTTTTCAAATGAGGTATTTTCATGATGGACGTGGTGTGGATTCAGCAAAGTCTGCCCTTTAACAAATACAGCTTCAGTTTCAAAGATTTGATTAGGCTTAATACCATTAGGGAACCATTACTGATTTTATGCTGTTGTTGTTACTGGTTTAACTATCAATTTCTGAACCAAAAATTGCAGACAGTTGGCTTGACCAAGAGTCAAGGTTTAGGAATGCAAAAGCAAATCCAAGGTACAGATGAACTTCAGATGTGGACAGGCTTCACAGGGTTTAAAGGCTCTCCAGAGTTTGTCAGGTCACAGAGGCTTTCCTTTTTTTTATGGGGTGTGCACGTGCCCAGTTGTTTTTTTGCATTTTTTGTTTGTTTTAAATACTTCTGACCTCAGCCAGAGCAAGTGAAATTCATTTGAGCAATTACTGCATGCAATAATTAAAAAAACCTCAAAACAGTCTTGTTTTATTGTATACCATTTACAAAAAAACAAAACAAATGAAAATGATCTTCTTAATAAGTAATCCTTGATCACCACCACGTGTTTCTCAAACAGCCAGATGTTCACAGTTTAAGAAGCCAAATAATACTACTACTTTTTTGTAAATGTTAATTGTGAAAGAACAATAATAATGGTTTTAGTCAATCATCATTAGTACTTGAAAGTACAAATATAAATTAAATAAGACTCAAAAAACTTGTACAATAAAATCTGCTATACACAAAGCTAATTAAAAAGAACTGCTCTCAACCTGTGTTGTGGGTTTCATCTTGTTTTAAAATTAAAAGCAGTATTTATTTTTCTGAAACATCCAAATGAATGTTCATATCCAGATGTCCTTACAAAGAAGCATGATCTCCATTCTTTTCTCATTTTTTAATCTGTTTACATTTTACTTCTGATTGTCTTTTTCTTCCTTGGCAATCCTCTTTGTCACACCACTGAAATACTTCTCACGGAAAGAATTGTGTCCCCTGTATGGCATATACTGGCCATCCAACAAGTAAGAATTCTCATCTTGATCCTGCATGGTATCAAAAAGCAAGCATTAGACTTCAGAGTAGCAGGTTCAGCAGGTGTTGCCACTGATTTGCTTCCAGACTTTTTCAAACAATTACAAGTAAAGGTAAAGTAGTTAGTTTTTTTTTTTTTTACAATTCAACAGCACCCATTTAAGACACTACACTGATTTAAAGAATTTAAAAGATAGAATGCTAAGGTTTCCATTAGGATTAAGAAGAACATATGCATTCTACTTCAAAGTCTTAACATTTAACAGAAATGAAATTCCATATGCCATGGATTCTCATTTGACATTGATCAAATACAAGCTGTAAGCAGACAAAGGGATTTTGTTCATGATGTTACTTTTTGTTTGTGTTCCTTAATGTACTCATTCAACCTTCCATTATTCTACTCTGTACAGCAAAATTATGCAACTTGTCAGTTTTAACAGCGCTGCATCACTGCAAATATTTCATCTGGCCTCACCAGAATCCTACCCTTACATGAATGAATGAGCACAGGTACTAAGCTACACAGACTTTTATATAGGCAAATATGTATTTTCCAGAAAAAATGCCATCTGGAGAATTCCATCACTCAGAGTTCTCCAAGGCAGGTATAAACAGAAGAGGAACACAGTCAGTTAAAATGAGTTCCTACAGTTATTGAAGCACCATCAGAGAAAATTTTTTGTGCAGCATTCATATACCTCTGAAAGTTAAAGTTGACACCGTTAATCCCTACACATTATAAATATTTGACACCAGCCAACATAGTTTAGAAAACTGGCCCACTACATATACAAAGGTTTAGTTCATAGTGTACTATGGCTTTACACAATTAAGATACTTGTCAATTAACATTAGCAATGCTATAACCTAAACAATACATCAAACTTTAACCTGAGTGCTAAAGAAAATTGATGGGACTTCTAAAAACAGTGTTCTGCTTATGGCTGATGTCACTTTATTATGGTCAATAGCAAGATGGAAAGGTGACAAGCAGCCTCACATAGAACAACTGAACTGCACAAAGAGAAAATAAAAACGAGCACACAACAGAACTAAACCTCGATTTAACTGTTTCTTCTTAATGCATATTCACTGTTTTTTTAAGCAATGCAGTTACACGCAGATTGGTTCATTACTTAAGTTTACAACTCAGAGTTATTTGTTCATATTTATAAATAAAGTTACCGTGGAATGCTTTAGCATAAGTAGTAGAAACATGGAAGTAGATTTTAGTCTGTATTTTCATACTACAAATGTGCAAGGATCAATTGAATCCTAATGAACAATCTCTCCCTTCACTATTTTGTAGCCTTTCCAGGTTTTCGCCTAGCAAGATTCAACACCTAACCTAGCTTTGGATATACTAACACGCATTCTAAAAGGGGTGAAACAAAAGGTTTTTCAACAAAGCAAGAGGCTTGTGTGCATGTACAAGGGCCCTCTTGTGGACACAATGAGATATTCCTAAAAAGTAGTTCTCACCTGCTATTGCAGCAGATACAAGTAACGTGACACCATCTTAAATTAACTTGCTAAATGTTTAGTGCCAAGTAGATATCTAACATATAAAGCATGTATGCCAGTAGCAGCTCCATTTAAATACTGCACCACTGGAAAACAGCAGAAGAAAATGACTTCAGTAAACCTACAGTAGTACCTATTGTCTTTTGGTCACCTGTGAGAGACTGCTATCTCCAAGACTATTCTCAGGCTGATAAACCCCGTGGTTTTAACATATTCATGGAAAAAAAAACCCAAGAAAATTACAAGATTACTACAGGCAGACAGGAAACAAGGAGGGCTTAAGACACTCTCCTCTCAGAGCCAGCCTGTACTCACTTCTCCACACCACTCTGAGGAAAAGAGTGCTTATTCTTCTCCTGAATTTGCAGGTCAGAAATCCTTCTTTGAACTAAACATGTACTTTTATATTGTTGGGATGTGTTTTAACAAGAATTCTACATAATTCACTTATTTTGAGAAATGGATGGGATATTTGACCCTGAAGGATAATGATATATGGGTCAATGATATTTTAACATAAAAATTAATCCCCACAACCTGTAAGAGGTCACACATGTGTACACCACTCATTTTGATTCTGTAAGAAACAAAATGCTGATTCAGGGTGAAGGGAGGAAAGAGGAAAGAAACTTCTCCCTCCTCTATCCCCAAGCTGGTTAAGGCAAAGAGAGGATATACTGTGTAAGAGAACAAACTTAAGTAAAACACAGGTGTAACAGGAGTATCTGCATTCATCAAATGGAAAGAGGCCTGGTGCACCACTCCACAGCAGAATCTATCTCGAAAATCCAGGCCTCATCAAAAGCTCTGCAAACCTCTGCTCACTAAATGAGAGATGTGAAGCCATGCATGGGTTTATTGGGAAAGATTATAAAGGAAGCTCCTGGCCCACATCACAGTAATTCCAGTTTAAGAGGTTTCATTCTGTATCTCTCCCCTGCGCAGGCATGACTGCCTAATAGAGATGGTTATTGCTTAAAAAGACCCCAAAAAACCCAAGCAACCAAAACAAACAAAAAAAATCTACAGATTGTGAATTGCTCCTTAAAAGAGAGAAAAGAAAATAAAGAAATCCTGAACTACCTGGAGATACCAACGTTAGCATTTACTAATCAAAACAGTTTTATGGGCAACATGAGAATTGACCAAAGTAAAATAAATTCTTGGATTTCAGAAACTAATGATTTCCAAACAAATTCTAAATTATGACAATTTGTATCAGGGAGCTAAATGGTTACAATCTGAACACCAGGAGTACTTGTTCAAAAAGCTCTTCATTAAAGAATTTGTTGTGACAATTCGCACTAGAATTTGCCTGGGCATCAGACAGCAGCTTGTTTTAGTAACGAAATAAGTCAAACACCCTCAGTTACTCTCTGTCTTGAGTAGCATAAATTGATAGAATATGAAAACTAAATATATGACAGGAACATTCTGCATTAAGAGAGATCTCTTACGGAGGGTGTCAGGGGCAGTATCAAGTCTCCCTCAAATGCATTAACTGTCCAGTACAGTTAAAATGGACATTTTTTAACTTTCTTTTCCTTTTTCTTCTGAAAAAGAAAGTAAGTTTAAATTTAGGCTATAGAGTTGAACCACAACATTTTAAGGAAAACAGTCTCTCTCTCTCGACATGCTGGAAGAGAAATAAGGAGTGCTGCTCGTGACACACAGCTGCATCTAGGTATGAGTAACTTTTTTCCCTCATTTCCTTTGAAACAACCATACGTAGTTTTCAAGGCATAAAGTTTGTAATTGGTTATTTAACAAAAAACAGTGAGACTTCCCAAGAAATAATTTAGAAGATCGAACAGCAATGATCAGCCTACTTGGCACTAAGTCAGCTCTTTCCCCAGTGTGTCAGAACTACCAAGAAGACAAAGACTTCTTCCTTTATTTGTAAAATTCAGAGGAGATATTCGTTAATCCCTGGTCATTCTTTATCATTATCCTTGGTTATCATTTTGAATAATTTAGGTTCTCTAAACAGTAGACTAATTGCAAGCAGCAGTTATCACATAAATGTTGCTCTGAAATGTTTTATGATGAGTTCTCTGACAACGGCAAACCAACAAAATTCTTGTCAAAAAGCTACCAAATTGCTTTTAGCTACTTCGAGTTTTCAACTCAACACTTACTTGTTGTAACAACAACACTAAAATAGGTGTTGCAGATCTCAAATAAATAATGACAGAGGTGGAATAGGAGGATGCTTAATGATAACAAGAAAGTTTTGCTTTTCTTTAAATCTTGGCAAATATTAAGTGATATTCTAAAGATTTTTAACATCTAGCATGCCTCAGTTCAGCTCCAGAGTAATTACCCACATTCAGTTTTTGTTTAAAGAAAAAAAAAATTATTCCTAGCCTTATCACCTCTTCCTACCACTCTACACCTGGTGCTGGACAGCTATACAGCAGTAAACAAAATGGAACAGTTACCAAAATGGGGACAACAGGGTCATATCCAGGAACAGACACTGCTAAATTCAACAGGAAAATTTCTACACCAGTAACAACTCTGGAGTGACCATGTGACATGGAAATTTTGGGGTGAGCACTGTGCTGGGAGAACAATGGCAAAAGTTGTCTGAAAAGTTAATATAAAAAAAGCAGCACCTTAAATATTAAAAAATAAATAACTGCTCTGCTCATATTATACATATGCTGGAAAGCCTATTCATATAATCACTTAGTTCAGTGAGAAATCTTTTCCAGTTGGCATGATTTCACTGTAAACTTAAGAAGAACAGACTGGATGCCTACTAGACAGTGAGTTATATACCACCTTTTGTGAGGCTTTTAATTCAACATATTTGATCTACACGTTAATGATTACTTGCGATAGATCAATACTTCATCAAGACATACTCACTTTTCGCATTCATTTTGGTCTCCTTTTTATTACAATTCCAAACAAAATGCACCACCAATTTCAGTAACTAATTGAATTCATCTCCATTTAGGAATTTAGAGTGTTAATAGTGAAATCAAATTTGCTGTGAAATCTGCAATTCCTTATTGGTGCCAAACACTGGGGAAACCAAAGAACTGCATAATGACACTATATGATTTGTAAAACTTCTTAGCCACTTGCAAGTGCTGCACTAAGCGGAATTAAAAGACAGCTGTGAGTGCCTGTTACAGACCAGTTTAGTAAAACAGACAGGAACTGTCTGGAAACATAAATGTTTGCATATTCATAAAAATTCACTCTTTCATTTAAGAAAACAGCCAAAACACTAACTACTGAATTTTATGATCACATCTGGTGAGTCAGAAATATTCAATTCAAAGGTTGCTCAGAATATTAAGAAATGAAAAGCCATGTTCCAGATAAGGGACACTGAGGTGGGGAAATCTTAGACACCAAACAAGACTCTAAACCAAGCAGGCACTAGCTAAGGACTCAATATGCATTTTGTTCTTTAGATTAAGTTTTACATCATCAAAAACCATAAATGGGTTCTGGTATCTTTAGATTGTCTAAGAGACATCTGCAGGCCTGAATATAAGCACCTGAGCAGTTTTATCTAAGCAGCAAAACTGCCAAATAGTCTCGGGTGCTCAGAGCTAAGCATTTCCAGACATGAACCTGTCAAACCACATAGTGAAGAACAGGTGATGCACAAAACAAGAATAACAAATGACAAAAGTCTACTCGCAGAAGAGTGGATATATTTTTTAGATTAGAACATGTTATCCCACAGCACTGGTATTAATAAACCTCCTGCAGAAAACCTCCCTGAAAACCCTGAGACACACATGTCAAAATTTTTCAGCATCTACCCTCCTGCTCCGCTACTGGTGAAGTCGGCAGCTCTGACACTGAACTCCTCCACCTGCAGTGCTTTTAAAAATTCAGGTGTTGCTTGAGAACTGCACTGGATCATGAGCATTATGAACACAGTACTGAAACCCTGCTGTGTTATTAGTGCAAGCACCACGCAGACACAGCAGTTTGACTGTATCTCCTGTCATCTGAAATAGCTCTTCCAACTGACAAGGATTGCACTAAAAACACTTGCTCACTGGGTGCATTTTCATTAAGCATTTGCCTCACATTTGCGTAGCATCTCTTTTAACAGTATTGAGTGAGAGAAGCAGCAAGAATGGAAAGGAGACCTGAAAGAAATATTCCCTCCCCCCAGTGCCTCAGGAGAGGCACTTAATGTGTCCCAAAACAAGAAAGAGCCAGTATGCTTCACTGTACTTTTACATCTTCAATATTATCTCAAAAACTAAGAGCTCTAAAGATGAAGTAACAGAATTGAATATGGTTTACCTGTACTGAAAGACCCACAAAGCCATTTAGTATTTACTTGGGCATCAAGTTACACTTCAAAATCAATGGAAACTTAGGCATCTCTGTGGATGAGATACACAAGTAGCCATAGGTTCAAAGATCTTTTTCACACTATTCAGGGGCTTGCTTGGGATGAAGAGTTTACCAAAAACTGAGAAGAAAAAGAGAAAAAAACACTGCCCAATTTTACAACAGCTCTTAATCGGACCATAAAAACTCAAGTGTGATATAAATAAGGATCAACTGGCAAAGAGCACAAACTTGTCATGAATGCAATAGCTACTATTTTTTAACAGAATGTAATCAAGAATTCAAGCTTACCTTGAATTCCTTCACCTTTTCCATGGTAATCAGGCGCCTTGATGTGTGCCTGGAAAGCATCTGCTCACAGTTGCTAATAAGTTTCAGGCACGGGTGGCGGGGAATGATTTCTTCTGTATATCTGGAAGAAATTAACATTCATAATGCTGTAAGCTCATGAAGTGCAAGACTTGTATCTGAAACAAAATTCTTATAGACTGTTCACAAAAAGGCTTACACTAGAAAGTTGTTATGCACTTTAATCTGATTAAAGAAATTCAGATATCAGTGCTCCAGAGTTTTGACAACATACATTTCAATCATCTTGTGACACAGAGTGTCTAAAATAAATTAAAACCTCACAGTAAAGAGAAATAAACACCCCATTTTCTATATGTATTTAAATTACGTTAATGTATGCACACAGGCCTGCCTGTATAATGTCAAGTAGAAAATATCTCAGCTAACCAGAAATAGTAACTTATCCAATGGGAGCTGTGATTTTAAAAACATATTCCAGACAATATATATGAAGTTGCAGGAATAAGAGACTTAACTCTGGTTCCCTAAAGGAGATCATCACAATTCAATTTCAAACCTTATCAAGCCAGCTCCTAATAGACAGTGCCATTCCTGGACTTCAAAATTTGGTGTTACAAGTCTATCTCATTATAATTACTTTTTCTATTGGTAAGAAAAAAAATCCATTATCATTTAGCATCAGATAGCAGCAACACTGGGTTACAATTAAATCCTACCTATAGAAGCAAGCAGTTACAGGGTTTTAAATGTCCTGTCTCATACGCACCCGATTTTCTGTATCAAGTGCTTTCTCTAGATTGCTTTCAATCCTTCCATTTCTACTGCTGAAAGAGGAATTTACAGATTTAAGACCTTTGCATGCAACTAGAGCAGCAAGAAGTATTGACCTAGCTAATATGATCAATATGAGATCAGACACCCTTCCCATATACTGAAACACAGATCAGTCATTTAGTCTTAGTTTTTGTAATAAGCTTTTATGTAATAGCTACTTCAACATAACACAGAAGATGGGTTCTGGTATTGTCAGGGACTATGACTTTGTACAAAATGCCTGCTCTCATGTTTCTCCAATGCTTAGGAGTGAACAGAAGTCAGACATTAAAATGCAGAACTAAACAACTTAAACATCTATCACTTCAATTTATAAGGCATGAAAGAGGAGCTTCACGTTTTTCTTGTGAAGAGGTGGATTTTCTGAAGGCACTTTACAAAGTAAAGGTATTGTTCTGGGAGAAAAAGAAGTCAAATGTAACATAACACAAAATAGGATCAGTCTAGGTGCTGATGGAAAACTTGGCATTTCTTAAGATAACAGTGAGCTGTTAAACAAGTAACTCAATACCAAACACAGATTTGTAAATAAGAAAAAAATAACCCAAACAGTACTGCCTCTTTGTTTGCTCCAAAACTTCCAGACTGCAAAACAACCTTTTAATCTCTTCTCATGTGGAATCAAGTTGCTACTTCCGCTAGCTGAAGTCAGAACATGCTTCTGACAAAGGAGAATAAAATTAATTCTCAACTGTTCTTTCTATTACACAAGACTTTCAGTGCATCCAGTACCACCAAACTCTCTCTTCCTCCTACAAAGGTAGGCACTCCGCCACATCATCTTAAATTTTTATATATATAATAAGGTTTATAAATATAAAGTTTATAAATACAAAACCATATAAAAGACTGACTGTCAAGGAATCAAAAGAATTCCAACTCAACAATGACTTCAATGTCAGATTGAAAGAGTAAACTTTGGAGTGAGATGCTATCTTGCAGAAGGAGAGATCATTATCAGTTTGTTAAAAAGCCTTGTCTGTTAGCATTAATGCATGTATTTCTACATTCTTTCAGGTAAAAATCAGAACCTTATCAAATAAGGAATACAGAAGCAGTGGTTTTAACAGACATCCATTTAAATCCAGTTTTGGCTTTAATTTAAGGTAATACACAAGGATCTCAACAAATGAAATTGAAGGCAGGTGTTGCCAAGGGATATTTGATAATACAACATGTTCGTAGAAAGTATCTTCTCTTCCCCCTACATACTTGTTTTAACGTCTGTTCCCTTGTTCAGCATTACAGCTGAAAATAAAGTGACTGTACTAATATTCTGTGCTAATATAGTGACTTCAGTGTTTCAATTCACAGTAGGATATACAAATTCACTTTTTACGAGGCAACTTAACTAGACCTCCCCAAAACAGCAACTAAAGCAGATCCTGAATGTGCAGTTCCCAAGTCATCTAAAGTAAAACACTTTACACAGCTGTAGTGAGGAAACATGTTTTTTATCAAAGTTCAATGAGCAGACAGAAGAATTCTGGTATCTTGATGAACAGAATAAATTCAGTAAATCCAAACAGTTTTTATTGGCATGGAAATCTTAGAATTCACAATTACACACAGTCTGTTGAGGTTAAGCATGTACAGACAGACATTTTGAACAACTAACTATAATACTGTTAATGACATTCATTGCTTTGTTTTTGAATTGTCTCACAATGAAAAAAGACTAAAGATAACAACTCTATCATTTATTAAAAAATGCAAACTGCTAAGTGCACTCTCCTGTTACAGCAGCATGTAAATGAGATGGCTTCATTTGATTTCCAAATTTCTAAAGCACGTAATATACAGGATATATAGGACAGTCATAAGCCATTTCCATGGTGAAATCAGGGACAACCACCACTTTATTCATCAGTATAGTTTGACTGCGCATAGAAACATCTGACATTGTAAAAACTACCTTCAGAGCACATCTGTATCTGGAAAATACTCTGAAAAACCTACAGAACTCCTCACTTTACAATGAAACAGTTTAAAAAAACACAAAACCACAACAAAAAAAAGCCTCAAACCTTATCTAAGAGATGCTGAAGTAAGGTATGCAAACAGCTGTCTTTCCTTTTAAACTCAGTTCTGAACCCAGGCTGCACTACTGAGCAGACAGGATCCTGCAGTCTCTGCTGGCCTCTCTCGTCCTTAACAGGGCTGTTCCCTTATGATTCCAGCCTCTCACTACCATCTCTTGGTCACTTGACTTTTATTTCTCAGAAGAAAGCTAAATTAGCAGTGCCAAACTCCAAAGAACCAAGAATGGTTTTTACAGGACCTTGTCACACGTCTCTAACAATTACTCCAAAGAAACACGTAATAATATGTACCTTGAAAGTTTAACTTTCTAAGCTTAAACTTCAATTCACTGGATGTCCATTAGCAATGACATGCTAAGGCTTTTTCTGTTTGGTAAATAGTCATAAATTGTCACCATTCAAAAACCTTACTTCAAGATCTGGTTGTCCTCACACGAAGTTTTAAAATACAAAGTCTGGGCACTACTCTTGACTGCTGGTACTATGGGAGCTCCAGCTGTACTGTGCCCCAAAAGAAACACAGTGAGAGTGCAGCATCCATTCTGACATACAACACAACAGAAACCAACAATACATACTCAGGCCTGTATATCGGCAGCCAGTAAACTAATCTTCCTCCCATCACCAGATGTTCTGCCGCAAACTTCAACAGGTCAAAAAAGATGTCACTTAGATGATAACTGGATGAAACGAAGATGTGATTTTCTGCGCTAAACAAAAAATTGTACAAGTGTAAACAAACATAAAAGCAAGGGTAAAACCTACATTTCTTAAAATAATAACTAAAAAAACCCACAACAACTAACAAACCAAAAACAAACCCAGACCACAAAAGCACTATCTGACACTCGCAAAACTAACTGTGACAGTCCAGAAATACAACTTCTAATATGAGGAATATGACTTTGCAAGTTCCCCTAACTGGCTCTTAAGACTATCATCCTCAGTCAAGGAATCACAGGTATACTGGGAATAGTTGTTTCGCACAGCCATCTTTCTTAACAATTTAGAGTAAAACACAGAAGACAATCAAGGCCAGGCAGTGAAGAAGCCATGACCTGTCTCTGAAAAGAGTAGTGGAAATCCAAAAGAGAAGAGGTTGAGGTAAAATACGGGCATTCTAATTTTAGACTGATTTTGCAGCCTGTAGAGACTGAAGAGAGCTTTCTGGGAACAGGATAGGATTCAAAATCTGAACACACACAAATGATAAGCAGGGAGAACAAAACCAGGAAGTAACATACTGGTTTTGCAAACAGAGCAAAAATGGGTTTTCTTCTTTAATTATAATTGCTACCATTTTTTTAACTGTTGATGGCCAACCAAGAAGTAATAAAGATTCTAAAATGCAACTAGATTTCCATTAAGACATCTATAGTCTACAACAGACAAGACAGCTCACCTACCTTCTTTCAACCGACTTAACTGCTTCCTTCAGTGAACCTGTTCTGCGAGTAGCTTCTCTGATACCATATGGTGCTAGATAAAGCAAATGCATAATGCAGAGATGAGAACCTCATCCTTTGTCCAAATAACACACAATTATACCATACATACACAACAGCGCACAAACTGTGCCTTATACAAAGTTAAAAAAAAGAAAAGCTTTTACAAAGTAAAAGTCAGTAAGGGAAATTTCTTTAAGATCTACTAAAAGTTTATTACTCCAAAAGGTTACTTTAAAACTATTTCAAAGAAAGCCCTTCAGCTTTCTAAGAGCTTCTAATAGCCTAGAAGTTCACTACACTAAAAAAGACAATGCTTTTCTGTTTTGTTAATTAAAAGATATTCCTTAGACTTCCAACATGTGACAAATAATTCCATCCTCTTTTGTTTGCCAGACGTGAACATGTCCCCTACAGCACTCAGCTAACCTTTTTCAAAATGAAATTAAATACGCTGGAATTTCTTGCCAGTACATTACACAAACGGTAATTCTCACACCTAAGAACCAGAGACGGCTTTTTCTCATACATTTTTGCACATTTCTAATAACATAACATACTTATTTCATGTTCAAAACCACTGGTTTTGTGAGACTTGTTTCAGCATCATGGAAGCACCAATATAACCATCGCAGGAGTCTTACAAATTGTGTCACACTCAGTTCTGAATCCATATTAATATTCTACACTGTCTTATTGCCAGACGGAACAAATAAAAACTAGCAAGCAACCCACGAAGAAAAGTCACACTCCCTATTCCTAATTAACATGAATGTCTCATCATAAGAGTCAGTACTACAGATCAGAAATTGCTGTATCAAGGTCTTTCATTTATTCACCTAGTTTCTATTCCCTCTCATACATGACAAATGATGTTTAGTACATAGGTTGCTAAAAGAGCAAAGGATCCTTCCAAAATGCTAATGCTTCTAGTTAAGTGTACTGGAAACACATTAAAACTTCTCTTTGGAAGCATTACAGTAGCATTTGACATAAGTCTCCAGAAGCCCATCAGGGTTGCATGTCAGACTCCAATGTACTGCAGATCAAGTCCTAACAGCAACATGGACTGTTCTGAAAAGAAGTCTCTGTGCATCGATAAAGTTGTTCGATTCAGTTTTACTGAATAAGACTTCTTCAAAGGATGATTTTCAGCCATATTGATTTCTGCTGGTGAACACAATATTCTTTCCACGGAAGAAAGAGTTACTGCCAGCTTTGTTACATATTTCTAACTACCCTTAAAATAAATGCAGAGATGTCAAATGCAGATCCAATTTCCATAGTGCTGCTCTCAATAATCACCTCTGATAACATGGAAACCGCAGATCTGATAGCTCATCCAGACATTAAATCAATGCACATAGGCTCAGACATTGGCAATAATCTTTTAGTCACTGCTGTTAGTCAACAAAAAGCAGTAACAAACTTACGGTCTGTAATGATTGCGTCGAACAGCATCCCTTTTCGCCATATCGGCCTTGAAGAATCAGCAACCAGCGCATCGAGGTAGTATTTCTCTAAACCATACTGTCGGAGATTAGCTCTGATATTTTCATCTGGCCCTCTCCATTTCTGGTTCTTTCTGCTTGCCTTGCCTGGGAAGGGAGAGGGCAGAGAGTGGGGAGAAAAGCACACTTAATAAGAAACTATTATATAAGAAAAGCTTTCCATAATACTCTACCATATAATTTAATGGAAAATAATTAAACATCACTACTAAACCTGTCAAAAGTACTTGCAGTAAACTTCAGAATTAGTAAGGAATAATGAAAATACACAAGAAAAGTTCTGCTGCACCATCTGCAAAGGGTGTCCCAGAACGTATTTATAAAGATGTTGTTTTGTAAGATGTTCTCTCTGACCATCAGTCACAGTCCTGTCCACCAGGTCAGATATAATTTGCACTGCAGATTTTCAGAGAAGTAAGAATGAGATTAGACTTCCTGGGTTAGGTTACAAGAAGCTTCATACATCACAGGTTAGAGAGAGCACACAGCTGTGGTAATTATTACTTGGAACTTTGGTTTTTATTATTCCTTTTTTAAAATATTTCCTGCTTAAAAATAAGATAATATTTTAGCTGGGATACGTGTAAATTGGTGAATAAAAATAAGCATAACCAAATAAATCCTAATAAGATTAATACTGCTTTAAAATCCACTACGTATCATCCACTACCACCTTAAATTCCAGAGAGCAAGATTTCAATGGCTTAGAAATACGTAACATACCTAATCCGTGGATTGTGTTGTAATCTATATCAGTACCACACACATATGCTCCAAAGTGTGCTGAGGAGATTAGAAGGCCACCTACACAGGGAAGAAAAGAGGAAAAATATAAACTCCTGTCATAAATGTCACTTGTGTTGGAATTTTTTCCTCAGCAACTTCAGGAGTTTACACAAGCAGTAGCACACTAGACCCAAAGCTAGACCCAAGCATAAAAGAAAAAGAAACTAAAAAAAATAATTAAAACTACCAACCTGTTAGAATCACTATGCAACTATAATCAAAGATAATTACAACTAAGTCTCTTGTCTGCTACACCTGATTCTCCTTATCTTACTTTGCCCTATGTCACTCCTTATCTCGAGACTGCTCTTAGGAGTTTGTTTATGGTTTTCTGTATTTCAAAGCAGTAAGATTCTTTAATCATCACATGATCCAAAACTTTTGATACGACTTTGCAAGGAACAGAATTTCAAACTGTCGGTACAAAATTTGAAAAGTCATCACCAAACAAACGGCAGTTCTACTGTGTCTGTTCGCAAAGTCAGTCTCCTTAACTGCGTCTAAAATCAAACTTGTTGTATAATGTGGCCATTCCCCGAGTAACAAACAATGTTCAAGAGCCTTGCAAATGTAAATATGTCCAGTGTAAACAGCAACATCAAAACAGTTTCTGTAATTGTTATGCCGCGTGAAAACGATACACAAATGCATATTTCTGTGAGTATGCTGCCTATTTGGTCAGTAGTTTTACCAATGTACTTATTCTGCAATAAAACCATTTTTAGTCACTACTACTGAGATCTGCTTTCCTAATTTACCAAAAAAGAACCCTAACAGAAAAGCATGTGTGATTTCCCCTTGAAACTTGACAAGAGTTGAACAGACCACAAAAATGAACAAATGACATTACCTCTTTAACAGCTTCCAAATGAAACAATGGACAGACTGCAGAAGAATACCACATACCTGTGTGGTCAAGTTATTAAATAGGAGCTATGTAGCTAGCAGAATGGTTTAAAACAGAACAGTGACTGAGAACAAGGCTGTGAACCCCACATTACTGATGGCAACAGTCCTACTAAAAAAAAGGGTAAGACTACTGCAGGATGGAAGAGTGGACAAGCACAGGGAACAACGTGCAAGCTGGCTGCGCTGATGACATCAGTTCTCTCATTCACAGGGAGCGTGGAGAGAAGCACTTCAGGAGGCTGCACTGCCCTGAGCCATCCACTCAGGACAAACACATCCCTAACATGCCCTGTGTGCGTGGGCTAAAGTGTCCCATCTCAGAGAACTAGAAAACTCCTACACCATATGGTAACCAACTCTACGAAAACCAAATGTGAGGAAGAAATGAAAGTTTTCAAATTCCTCTGCTTTTTCTTGGATCAGGGAAAAGCAAGTCTACTCAACCCAGAGGAGTCACCCATTTCCCTTCTTGGCTACAATCCCTCAGAAGAGATGGGCAGTATTCCAGAGGGTCTGGACAAATTTAGCTAGTCCTGACCCCAAGTAAGGCATACCACCCAGTCCTACAAGAAAGTAAGAAGAAAGTACTTTGCCCATCTAAGAATGGTTTTAATCACAGGCAAAAAAAAGTTAGGAAAACATGAACTTAAAGTTTTCAATAAATCTCAGCTGGTACTAGTTCAATTGTGTTCACACAGAAGGTGCACGAATACTTAAATACTGTAATATGGTCAGCCCTTTGATCTACTATATGAAACAGATGCTAAGACAGTTAATCAGAGAATCTGTGTCCCCTGATGACTATTAGCAGAATATGCTGGTGGCACAGAACTTCATGCCTTTCTATTGTATGCTATTCCCCCATCTCTTCAGCACCCACGAGCACTGGTCATAGCACTGTCCCCGAAGATGTCAAAGAAAACCTTCTTGCCATTTGCAACTACACAGTATCACAAAATGGCAAAGAGAAAGTAAGGACAAATACCTTCCAATGGTACAATCAACAAGATTACTGAGATAACCTGAACAGATTGTCTAGGAGGAAGCACAAACTATTAAGGTAGAAGACTTGATTTATTCTTCCAGAAACCTCCAGGCTTCTTTGTGCTCTACACTAAGGAAAGGATATTTAAACAGTTTATGGAACTTAAAAACAATCCTGGACGTTCCAATTCTGCTCTATGATAAGAAGGGGAATCAAGCCTCCTAAAAGCCAGCGTGGTTAAAGAGCACTTCATATTCCAGTGTCAACTGCCAATCTGCCACTGTTACACTAATGTGGAAGACTTGTGATTTGGCTTATGCAAAAAACAGTTTCTTTCCAACAAGGACGCACCATTTTGCAAGGCCATTCTGATTTGGCACTATTTACCTTTTCACTGCAAAAAAATCAGGAAGGAACCATGCCAGATAATAAGGCTGCATCAGTAAGGAAATCTGAACTGCAGTTTCAAAATGGTCCTCAAATCCTGTATGTATGTTCATTTCAAACCCATCAGCAAACCCATGCACCTTTAGACTTTATATTACAGATATCCAGGGAAAAAAATCCCCAAAAAATGCAATTCAAACCACTAGGCAATTTGTTGAGAATTTTGTATACTTTTATTGTATTTGTTACCTTTTGAACTGAAAAATGATTTATCATTGATGTTGAATTTCTATAGCTTTGCCATTTCCATGTGATTTTTCTTCCACTGTCTTTACCTTCCTTTTCACTCCCATGAGAATGAATGCTCTCAGAAATTTTTTTTTGTTTAGCAGGTTTTCGTAAGAAGATGCAAAGCCATAGACACCAAAATCAAACAAACTGCTCACAGATAAATAGAGGAATTTCTTGAACCTTTCAAAGAAGGACAAGGACGAGGAGAAAATTTCATAAAACATTATTATGCATGAAAAAAATCAGATCATATATGAACAAAAATTAGGGACAAAAACAGAGTTCACTGAAGCCTTGTGTTTCTGAAAATATTATATCCCTGGTTTGTTTTCCGTGGTACAGAGAAGATACATGCTATTAAGAATTTATCCTACTGGTGACCCTGTAGTGTTGTCTTCTCTCTCCCTAACTAGTGTGCAGTCATTTCTGCAGAAAACTATCCTCATCCTCCCATTAACGTAAGTATTTTTAATTGTATGCATCTTACATGTGGTCATCTTGATCAAAGTTTGGCAAGTTAAATAGGAGTCAGCAGTGTCCTGGGGAGCATCAGGCAAAGGATCTCCAGCTGGTTTAGGAGGGGATTGTCCCACTTTGCTCTGCTCTGGGGCAGCCTCACCTTGAATACTGTGTGCAGTTTTGGGTGTCACAATATAAGAAAGATATTAAGCCACTAGAGAGCACCCAAAAGAGAGCAACAAAGTTGGTGAAGGGCCTTGAGGGGAAGCCATATGAGGAGTGTCTGAGGTCACTTGGTCTGTTCAGCCTGGAGAAGAGGAGACTGACGGAAGGCCTCACTGCAGTCTGAAACTCCTATGGATGTGGAGGGGTATACACTGATCTCTTCTCTCTGGTGACCAGCAACAGGACTGGAGGAAATGGCTTGAAGCTGAGTCAGAGGAGGTTTAGGTCAGATATCAGGAAAAGGTTCTTCACTGAGGGGGTGGCTGAGCACTGGAACAGGCTCCCCAGAGAAGTGGTCACAGTACCAAGCCTGACAGAGTTCAAGAAGCATTTGGACAATGCTCTCAGGCACATGGTGTGATTCTTGGGGTTGTCCTGTACAGGTTCAGGGAGTTGGACTTTGATGATCCTTGCGGGTCCCTTCTAACCCAGGATGTTCTATGAGTCTACTCTGACTCTAAAATCCAGGTCATAAACACAGCCTTCATTATGCTTTTGAAGAAACTCCTATAGGTAGCTTAATACAGTATACTCTGCTATGATTATATGGCACAACCTGACACAACAGATCAGCTATTTCACCTACAAAACAGCTGAGTTTCCCTGAGGCAAAAGGTACTTCTATGTCATTCAGAGTAATATGTGGAATAAAAGCTCCCCCTCCTGGATAAACTAGGAAAAGTTCAGCTAGGGGCGGATACATGGTGTGAGCAGTATTATATCCTAAAGACAGGATGTGAAGGAACAACAAACTGATCTCTACTGAATGCTATGACCCAACTATTGTTATGTTAAACGCCTAGACATGCCCTCAGCACTCTAAATAGACAGCTCTAAAATGCTGCTCGTTGTAACCCCCTGAAAGTGACCGCAGGAAGTACATTAGCCAATTTCACTTCTTGGTCACTTTGAATCTTAGGCAGTCCATGACACATAGGAAGTAGTGTTTAAGCCATGTTGCGTGAAAAGTAAAGACAGATTTTTTAGAAGTGTAAAATAAACTGGTTAAAGCTCTAGAAGCTGATCTCCTTCCCCCAAATCCCTTTCAAGTTAACAGACTACTCATTTTACAATCAGCGTTTGCCTTTGGTATCATCTCAAATATCAACTGAGCACCAGAAGCCACTGCACCAGGTAAAAGTCTGGTGCAAACAGTAAGACAATCTTCTAGATTTTCTCACCAGTTGGAGATTAAAAAAAAGTACCTGTTCCAACAAATGGATCATATACAATATCATTGGGTTTTACTCTCCCATGGTTGGCCATAATGAAAGACAGGCAGGCATCCATGCTTGTATTTCCAATAAAGTGTCTCTTCTTTACACTGTAGGATTCAATGAGTTCTCTTTGGCCATCTGCAATCTGTTGAAACATTTAAAATCTCTGTCAGGTCTTAGATACAAGATATAAGCAGGCAGGATAACAGACGTGCTTAAGTGACACCATCCAAAAACAGGTAACTTCATTTCGTAACACATCACCTTGCTTTCTGACGTCTGAAAATATGACAGACTTCTTTCCAAGCAACAGATATCTTGGTTCAACACCTAGATAAATTCTTCAAGACAGAGGTTAAAAATATACAAACATTTTAGACAGAAAATTCTTCTGAAGAAATAACAATTATAGCAACTTTGCTATTATTCTGAGTATCAGAAAAACAATTCCTGGCAATTCAGAGTTAAAAGAATTTCAAAATTAAGACGAGGAGAAATGCACGTTAACACATGCGTGCACATACACACATGTATGCTTAAGGTCATGCAGAATTTCCTTCTTCACTGGCATTTCTGTCATGCTCAAAATCTATACTCAGGATAGCATTAACAGATCAGAATTTAATGGAAAACCAAACACAGACCAAATGCTAGTACTTTTACATCAGACTTCCAAAATATGTTGAAGAAGACCAAAGCTACCTGCAAGAAAACACGGTCAAAAGCTCTTCCAACACTACCCCCCCACCTCTGGTCAACATCAGTCTTACTGGGTAAACAAAATACACTCGCCTAATTTTTTTTAGGTTGGTTTACTCAGCACTTCAAGAATCCAGCACAGATGGGACAACAGCTGCAATGTTTTACAGCATTGCCACAACACGGGGTGCTTGCACGTTAACCACAAGCACGGAGAACACTCACAGGTCCTAACGTATCACTTGGATGTCTAACTTCCCTGTACACAAGCCACTGAGCATAGCTGTACAGCCTCTGCAGTGGTTCTCCCTCCTTCCAGCTGCCCTTGACATAGGACACTGTTAGCACATATTCCCATCAGTGGCTCATGTCATTCTGGAAGATGTCCTTTGGGGAGCCACTTTTTCCTCACAAAAAAATAAAACACCAGATCAGATTTCCTCAGGATACGCTAATAATGTGGCAGCTTTAAAGGGCATACAGCCAACAGGCAAGAAGGTCTGTAGTGAAGACCTCAGCTGACAGGCTTCAGACAGCTTTTATAAGTGGTTCCTGCTGTAGGCCCTGCACTGCCAGTGTCCCCTTCAGGTCTGTGAGCTGAGCCTACTGATGTCCAAAGCCTCAGGGATCAGTCTGCACCTTTCCGTGGAGGTTCCTGTCAGGACCTCTTGAAGCACTTACAGAATGCTCTAGTGGGCCTGACACAACTGAGCAGGGCCACAAGCCGTCTACAGTTCTGTCTATCTTTCTGTGTGTCTGAAACACACTGCTGGTGCTTTCAGCTGCAGCTGGGCCCACAACAACATAATGCACCACTACAGCTGTGCAGTCTCACAGCTGTGCTGAGTTCTCTCAGTGGAGGGCAAGATAAGGTGTGTTTCCAGATACAACTTCACTTTTTTCCACCTCTAAATTGCTCAATTAACCCACTTTTTCCTAGTCACAGTAAAGTCTCCAAGACTTGCAGTGACAGATTCAGACATAATTATATAGTCTGCTTCCACTGAAAGTCAACATAAGTTTTTACATTTAAAGTGAAGAACACTTTCCTGAAAATACAAGCTCATAAGAACTCATAAGAAGCAAGCATACTCACGCACCCATCTACCAAAATACAGATGAAAGGGCTCTTCTGGAACATTATTTGGGTTCGTTCCATAATCTTCCAAAATCCAGAAGATATGTTCTGGATTCTTTAAATTTACTTTTCCTTTGAATGGCAGAAATTCAAGGGCCTATACAATAAAGAAAAACAGAGTAAAAAAACCTCAAACCAGGATAAATTTTTTAATAGGCACCTCCCCTCCAATAGAAAAAAAACCCAAAACAAACCCTCGACCCCAAAAATCCCCACCACAATTTTACTTGTGAGAAATGATAGATAAGTATTAAAAGTACATTCTCAATTTTATCTAGATTTTTGAAATACCTTTCTTGTAATACAAAATACCTCATATGATTAAGAATTAGAAGTCAGGAACCATAACACTTTTTATTAACTGAAGAGAACCCAACTTTAGAGGAAATGAACTGTACATATTGTTTACACAATTCTCAAGTTACAAAAACAACACTGATGATGAACAATGGGATATAAAATTTCAGTGATGTGCAGCTACACCAATTTACATACTCAGCATTATTTCATGTACACAAAATCTAACAAACAGGAAAGAGTGGCTACTACTAATACAGATAACTTCAATTTCTGTAAATGGCGTAAATAGAACAAATAGCTGATAAAACACCATGTGGAAGAGCAAAAATTAACAGTAATTTAAAAAAATGTCCTAATTATAATACTGATACAGTTAAGAGGAGAGCACAAGTGCAGACAAGAGCATAAGGAGCAGAACAGGAGAATAGCACACAATCCACAGCTTGCAACGGAAGTCACTTGTTCCACATTCTGCAACAATAGAAGCCTAATTCGGAGATCAACTAACAGATTTTCCAAAAGTCTAGCACCTAACTCTAGCCATTTGAATCTTAGTGTTTTGGGTAATAAGCTTCAGTTTCCCCAGCACACTGGGATGAAATCAGCTGTTTCTTTAGCTTTGTATATGCCACACATGGTCTGTTTAGGTAAGCAAAAAAACATTGTGAATTTTGAGGGAATTTTAATTCAGACACAAAGACCTCATTTAGACCTGATAAGATATAAGCAATAAACTTCTTTCAGATCTTTAGGAAACCCAAACTTAAATACTTTGATAGCATGGAATAAGAACAACATAAATGATTAAACTAAACATCAAAGATTTCTTAACCATCTACTTACATCAATCTTTTTTATTTTCTCTGCTTGGGTCAGTGTTTTATTAAATGTATGAATATGTACTTTATAAGTAGAGCCTGACTGTAGATATGGAAGCTGAAAAAAAAAAAGGCAAAGATAGTTTCATTAGTATAGATGCAATGTTATTCAGTGGATAGAGGGACCACATTATCCAGATTCTTTATATGCATACCATCTTGTCCACTGGATAGTTCTTCAAAGAGGCATAGAGCTCCCCCTCAGATCTTCCATGACCCCACAGTTCAAATATAGACCTGAAATTACAAAGTTTTTGAGAGTGCAGTAACATGGAGGAGGCAAAATGCCTTACAGACACTTACTCCTTCTAACCTTCTTGGCCAATTTATTTAGGCTTTACTTCATGGAGTTCTAAAGTGTGGTATTTAATTCTTAGCAAATGTTTTAATTTTTGTTCTTAATAAGGACACATTAATTTTTAATCCTAAGCCAATATTTCAATTATGCCTTTTTTTTTTTTGGTTTGGTAACATATACTAAAAGCATCAGAGCTTTTGATATTGATTAGCAGTGCAATGAAGATGCACTGGTAATCTTCTAAAACTAACATGTCTTCCCACAACCAGCAGCAGGCCAGAAAAATAAGCTGTGGGCTAGCTACACTTTCTACGTAAATTAAGGATACACAGCATACAAAGAGCATGGTATACAGAACATCTGAAAGCTGCTCTGTCATATTTTACTTCCTTAGCTGCCTACGGCTGCTTTCTGAAGTGCAGTACAGTTGATCTCCACTGGAAACACACTGTCCTAAGGACAGTTTTGTACACATGGGGCTCCTTTAGGCAAGAGTGGACAGCCCCAGTCACTGGAGGTAAAGCTGAATACCTGACACAATAAGCACTCAACGGGGACTATGCAGTGCTCTGCAGAGGGGCCCAAACTAACTCTGAAGAACACAGCACAAACACCAGAAATTTAGTATGGTCAGAGACACACCATGCCTACACTGCCTCTCATCCCAAATCATACCTCCACAGCCTCTCTCACAAGCCTCACTGCAAAAATGTTATTCAGACACCTCTAAAAAGGACCAGCTGGAACAATCACTCTCTGGCATACTCTTGTGCTCTTGAATTTTCTAGAAGGACCTCTGCTGCAGTGGGCTGGGCTGAGAGCTCAGATGCCAGCACTAAGGGAGGGTAACAAAACCTTTCCCTTCAAAACTTGATTTTCAATTTTTACTTATCATCATTTTTATCTTTTAATTCCATACACATTTTGAAAACAACCCATTAACTAAACTTATTCAAGGTGAATAAAACATCAGTGAGTACTGTCTCTGGAGTGAAGAACACTATTTCCAGACCCTGACTTGATCATACACCAAGAAAACGTGAATGCTACATAATCAGTCCTACAAGAGTCCTACAAACTCCAGTTACATCTTCTTAATTCTAGAAGGAATCAAAGACTGTTTATTTGAAGACTGCATAAGAAATCTGTATTTGCCACAACAAAACAATATTCCACCACTTCAATTATTGTTTACAAGATTTTAATCTCTTACTTTGCACATACAGTCCGTTTCATTAGTCCCCTTGCCATCTCTTCTGAAGGAATATTGAGAATCCAAAATGGAGACTGAAATAAAAAGAAGGTAAGTGATACAAATACCTAGTTGGAGGACATCAGAAGAATTACACAACTACACAATTCTGTTCTATAAAAACAGAATGTGCATGCTGAATATAAAAAAAAAAAATAAATCTGTTGACTGTAATCATACAGATGATAAATATTTAATTTCAGGCAAAACCGTTTGCTCGGCTTGAATGTCTGACAAATTTTGTTATGTATTTCATTTTTCCACTGTATCTTTGACTTAGTAAAATATTATTTGTTTGCACTTCTCTAGACTATGCATCCCCTAAAGACGGAAAACATCTTGTTACACACAAGCAGTAACTTATTCCTGGTAATATTCTCGGACTAAGCATTGAGACCAAAACCATACAGCTTCCCAGCTGTACTCTTCCAGATAATCTGTCTCATTGATTTAGACGCAAACATCAAATCCAAACTGCTGCTGAATGTTTTCACGGTTCGGCTATTCCGAGAAGAAAGGAGAGTCTCCCAGCAGATGGCACTGCTTCTTTTCATACTGTTAAACGAAGACATGCTGAGGTGTATTTTGTGCATCTTTTCTTTAAGTTCTGAGCCTTTACTGAAATTGAGAGTGCCTCGTTTTTGGAAGATTCCTGATTTTTCTACGAAACTTCAAAATTTATTCAGTTACCCACATTTATCAAAAATACTATAAAGAACATACTTGCATACCATAAACACACTCAAGTACAATATTTGGTCCTCACTTACATTAACACGAATTTCCTGCTCACCACTGAATTTTCCACCACAAAGGGAGAGCAATGATGTTATTTCCTAAATTGAAAATATAGAGGTCAGGCTTTAGAATCATTAATGAATGTTTGAAGAAAGAAAGGGGGAAACAAGGAAAAAAGAGCAGCATAACACAAATTCTATTGCAGACGGTGAGGATTAAGAACAAAATTCTAGAGACAGAAAAAGAAGACAGAATGGCATGTACTACCAACTTTACTGTGGGAACAGACAGTGAAACGCTCAGAGTAGTTGCATAGATAGGACAGAAGTTCTCAAGTAAATTCAGTTTGTATGTACTGTTCATGAACAGAAAAAAAGGTAAGACTTTCCTGCTTTAAAAGCAGCTTTCTCAGAGTTCAGTGGCAAAGGAATGAGCTCCGTTAGGCAAATTTCACTAATCAAGTTTCTCTGCTTCAGATTTTCTCCTTCATCTAAATCTTTACTGCTTAATCCTGCAGTCTCACAACAATATTCCCCTTATAGTATTATACTATTCTTAAAATATTTTTCTGACTAATTCACATTAAAATGGTGTTTCTCTAGTAACACTGACCAAGGGCCAGGACCAGCACTAAACATCAATTCCTTTTCCGTTACCTCTCTGCTTTACGAGTATCTCAACTTGTAAATCCCAATCCCAAGTTTTCTTTAGTAGATGTCTTCTCTAAATCAAAAGACTGCAAACTGAACACACAAAAGAGCAAATCTCCAAGAAACAAGCTAATAAGTAATACCTGAAAAAAAGAAAAAACAATGTACTTAAAAGGCTTTCAAAGTCAAATGAGATGTAAATATCAGGGATGTTTCTCGTGCAGCCCCAACACTAGAAATTACATGCTGCAATCTCTGGATGCTACCGGAAAAAGAACACAGAGGGAAAATTTTATACTGGCTTAAGTTTCAACTGAGTGGGTAAACGAAAAGACTGCCATTAATTATCACCAAAAAATGGAGGAAAGAAAAACCCAGTATGACACTAGCATACGGTTTTAGTGGGACATTACCCCACTCATTTCCCTCTTTCCATTTGAATAGAAGGGACATAAGAAACGTTCAAAAAAATATAAGATTACGTGTATCTATTTCACTGTATGGTCCTGAGGCAGAAAAAGCACCTGAGATTTTATACATGAATTGGTGGCATCTCCACACACCGGTAATATTACCTACAGGAAACTGACAAAAATGAGAAGCAGAAAAAACACGGCCAGCAAGAAAAGGCTGGGAGAGACCAGCTACACATGCTAAAAGTTGCTGTGATAAAGAAAGATAATAATCTGTTTTCAACATTTATTATGGAGGAGATGACTGCATGAGGTTCAAACCACAGCAGTGCTCTGGATGAGAAGTTGGGGAAGATCGTTCCAAGAGTAAAGACAATGAAGCACTGGAACGTATCTGCCTGAGCACATTGATAAGAAAACATCTGACATGCACTGATCTCTCCATTAGAGACAAGCTGTGCTGTAAAACAGAATGCCTGATCCTACCCTTAAGTATCTGACCTAACAAAAAACAGATCCCTGACCATGGAGCACAGTCTATCAACTAAGAAACATGAAACACGTAACTTCAGACGCTGAACAACAAATGCGGACTTTGACGAACACCTTTAGTTGCTGTGATTCAGCACTACCAGAAGAACAAAAGCAGTCCTCTCATATCCGATATGCAGATGTGGTAGAGATGGGAGATCAAGCAGATCATCTAGCTAAAAAAATCCGTCCTTCCTTGTTCCATTGAGCCCTTAACGTAGCTCATGACCAAGCCAAACAGATGGCTGAGCAGAGTACAAGAAAAGGGAAATGGAACTGCTTTCTTCAGCAGCTATAGCAATCAAGTGCCACTATAACCTTGGTGATAAAAGAAAAACTCTTACATATATATCATCATGTTTTTACTTCATCTGATGACCTTGCCTAAAGACAAACTCGGTTGATCATAAATAAATAAATAAATTCATGTTCCAGGCTCACAAAGGAAATACTAAAAATCAATGCATAATAGAAAACGTTAATGAAAACAAGGAAAACAAATGATGCAAGACACATTAAATATTTTATAACGTGTAACGATGACCTACCAATTCTAACAAAATAACTCTATATTTCAGCATTGCTATTTTAAACAATAACATACTATCCTGGATATTACTAGCTCTTCCAGACAGTGCCTAGAAGAGCCCTTAGGGTATCAAAATTTGTTAAGGTATATAGCAACTCCGTAAGTTATCATGGGAAAAAAATAATCACAAGTTAAATTTACAAACAAGATGGCTTTCTTACTAATGTGGAAACTGAGCGTATGCTAAACTACGCATTCACCAAGGGCCCATAAAAACACTGGGGATTAAAAAAAAAGACCAGGGAGCTTCAAGTAAGTTACAATTTATTTTCATTTCAATTATTTCTGTGAACACAGAATAAGGTAAAGCAGATTTAGCGACAGGGAACAAACTCCGCACCCCAGATGTTGCAACCAACCATCACACTCGTGTCAACAACAAGCAGACTGCAGCACTCCAGGCAGGACTTGCTCTGATCCCACCACAGAAGCTGCTCCACTCTCCCTAATCCCACACAGCCCAGGGGGGCACAAACCTTTCTGACTGCATGGAAGCAAACACCCAGAATCACAAGCTAAAAGTGAGCAGTCCTCAGTGCCACCAGTGTGAGCAAGGCTTGCAACCAGGAATGCCAGCCGAGGTCTTGGAGACCTCTGCTCAATCCCGGCCCATGCCACAGGCCCTAGGGCTTCAGAGAGCACCATCCTCACTGCCCCCCCAAATCTTCCTTCTGAAAATGGAGATACCTGCAAATCTCCTGCCTCGCAGAGCTCCATAAACACGTGGGACAGGGAATCACAGAATCAGTCAGGTTGGGAAAGACCTCTGAGATCATGGAGACCAACCTATGCCTGAACACCACCACCTCAACTAGACCGCGGCACAACGCGCCACATCCAGCCTTTCCTTTAAACACCTGCAGGGCCGGTGACTCCACCACTTCCCCGGGCAGTCCACTGGGCACTGGAATGAGAGCTGACCGCAAGCGTCCCCAGGGCAGCACCAACCATTTCTGTACCCACACCGCGCTGGCGGGAGCAGCAGTATAGTTTAAACAAACTTTAAAAGTCACCAAAGCAAGATCCCGAAAGCATTTCTGTAACCCCATTTCCCACCCCAACCACCCCCCTCACAGCTTCCTCTTCTCACGTGGAGCCCCACGTACTCTGCTGGCAACCTCCACTAACGCCAAGAGGCTCTGGAAAAAGAGGCAAGGGCAAAAACAAGCCCCCACGCAGACGCTCTCCACGGGGCGGGAAGGGAGGAGAGGCGGCCCCACGCCTGGGTTCTGTCTCTTGACACGGGACGCGGGGAGCGAAGGCGCACCGGGAGCCCCGAGCCGCGCGGGGCGGGCGAGGCCCCGCCGGGGTCCGGCCGCCCGCGGGCACAGCCGGGACCGCGCTGTCCGGGAGCGCTCCGGCCCCGGGCCCCGGTCCCAGTCCCCGGTCCCGTCCTGGCCCCCGGCCCCCGGTCCTTGCAGCGCTCACCGGCAGGCGGAACTCGAGGTGCTCCTGTGCCAGCAGCAGCAAGTACCGCCGGAGCGCCGGAGCCGCCAGCGCCATGGCCGGCCATGCCCCGCGCCCCGCATGCGCCGCCGGGATGGGGCGGGCTCCGCGCCGCGGCGGGAGCGGCCCGGGCAGGGGCGTGTGGCCCGGACACACGGGGACGAGCGGGAGCTGGGTGGGAGATCGGTGCTGCGCACTCCGCGTTAATTACTGTTCATTCCGCCTCCTTCTCACCCTCCTTTTAATTTGTGTTTTGTGTGTGCTTTACCACGCGCGCCACGTGTCGGGGCGGCGGAGCCTGCGTGTGGTTTATAAATAACCGCACGCTCCCTGGGGACACACGCTGGCTCGGGGGGGTTAACGCTGGTAGGGCAGCGCTGCGGCCTCTCCTGGCCACGTTTAAGGATCTGGAGCATTAAATAACATTAAGAATTAACAGATGCCAAGGGAGTCGCATTCGTTTTTCCGTGGGAAGGAGGTCAGCACCGCCGGTGGGGGTGTCGGACCAGGTAGAGGAGCAGATTCCCAGGAGAAGGACAGAGGTGTGACTATCCAACGGGAGGGGGGTGGGGATGGGGGGGGCACAAGGGCTTTGTCTTGCAGATTATATTTTCTTTTATTTTAATATCTAGGCATGATAACTATAATCTTGTACTCACTGATCTCCCTGTTATGTTGAGCTGAGAGATTCGGCTTATCCAGATTTCTCTAAGCTTTTTATTAGAACCAGGCCAGCTCAGCACTGAACTCATGTTCTGTATTTTATGTGCTAATTTTTGGACAGCTTTTTTTCTAGATGGCTAAGATTTTGCTCATGACCTGTGAGCACTCCACAGGCCACCTTCCTTATCCATCTCCGTAATCCCATCCTGCAGCTTCTCCAGTTATGCCTTTCTGCAGTAATCAAAACTGAGATTTACTGTGAAGTTTTAGCCCTAAAGATTGACAAGAAAACAATCTAAAGTGACCTGGAAGCTAAACGTTAACTTTCCTAGAAGAGAAAGAAAAGAGGAAGATGTGGATCAGGCTTGTTCACCTCAGCAGTTGAATGCTGGTACCCAGCAATAAACACATTGCTGAACTGCTGACAAAGCCCGAGAGCCTGAGACTGCTTACAAAATCTTGGGATTGCTGAGAGAGATTTAGTGGAAGAAGCCTGCTTTTATTTTTCCATTCTGTCTTACTTTAAATTTCTTAGCTGTATAACTTTCCATTTTTGAAACTCCTTAGGAGGCGTTATTGGTATTATTTTTAAGCTTAATCTCTTTGAGACTGGCTTTTGCTTATTCTGTCTGCACTGCTTTATCTTCAGAGCATTGCTGTCTGTTCTCACGAGATGCATACCTCAGTTTTCCAGTGATACTGCTTCTACAGAAGAATTTAACTAAAGCCCTGATTTTTTCTTACTTTAGACTTGAGGATCCATTCAAAATCTCTGGGAGTCTATATATGTTGCTCAGCACAGTTTGAAAGTGAATGTACATTACTAAGTAAGACTTGCAGAGTATTTGATTCTGATGTAAAAACAAAATGCTTTTCAGATGCTGTGTTTGTAAACTGAACATACATTCCTGTAATGCCATCGAGGAGAATCAAGCAGTTTGTTCGTGTGGATTTGGGGAGTCATCCTAAATCAGCAACATTATGTTACTATGTTAGGGAGGGAAAGAAAGAAAAATTGTCCTTTTTAGCCTTAAAATTTTAGGGAAAATTTTAAGTACAGAAAATGTAATTACTCATCTCGAAATTTATCCAGGAAGCTAGAATTAAACGCCTTCCTCTCACAAAAAAAAAAATAACAATAGGATCATATGACAGTTATGAGTTTCAGGTTAAAAGTTAAGAGACCATGATTGAAAAGCCATTATTTGATGTGTGCTGCTGCTTATTATTCTCAGTTCTCTTTTGTAGTGATTGTGTTGCCATTTTTTGTTCACCCCATGCACTCTTCTGGACCCAAAGGCAACACAAGTGTTTTTTGACCGACTTGCACATTCTGCTGGGGCATTCAGGGAGCTCTGTCACTGCTCGTGGGTTCATGTGCAACAGCACCAACATATATATATGGGCAAATATCCATTAAATCTTACCTTAAAAGCAACAATTCTTTAAAATTATAGAAATATCTATTCAATAATTCAGTTTTTAAACTGTTCAGAATTTGCATTTCTGTCCATTTCCCCATAGAAAAGCTAGCACTCATCCTCGGTTTTATCTTCAAATGTCGGTAAAAGTATCAGCTCTACTAATGTGCTATATGGAAACTCTAGTTTGCATATTGCAACAGGTGAAAAATATGCCCCAGCAAAGACATGGTTATAATACATTCAGATCTCTGCAGGTATGCAGAAGTCTGTGCCTAATTCATCAAAATAATCCTGTACTTCACAGATAGCCCATAATGTAAGTACAAGTAATGTCACAGGTGGTGGGCAGCCCGTGTACCCGGAGCAGTAAGGCAGTTTCCCCTCTGGAGCGCAAGCTCCCTTGCCTGGAGCCTGCCTGTGGCGTGTAGCTGGCTGACATGGCTGTGCAGCACAGCCTTTTAAGGGAGAACTATCTATTCTGGTTTTGTCTTCTTCACTAAATAGGGTGTTGCAGACAGTGACAGGCTCACTAACTGGGATTTCCCCTTCTCTTTGCAGTGCCTGATGAGGAAAATCCTCCTGCTCCCACCATGTACTGACGTTTCAGGTCCAGGTAATATTTTCTGTGCATAATAACTTCCACAGCCCGTGGAAACCTTGTCGGCACAGCATGAATTTGTCCACCTTTAATCAGTGGGCAGGCAGGAGAAAGGCTTCCCACCCCTGTGCACGGGTTGGTGTGCTGCTTCTCGGGGAATGGTTTGCTCTCTTCCCAGGTCAGCCAGCACTGCATCAGATTGTTTGGGAAGTCAGCGGGGCTGCTGGGTACCAGGATAAAGTTCTTTAAAAGGCATCATTGCAGGAGGAATAAGCACTGCACTACATTTGTGTTGCACGGAGGCCGTGGGACCAGTTGTACACCGGGTAACCTTGTAAGCATAACTTACTGTGTTCCAACATTGCTTCTGAATTTCAGCTGAATCACTTGTACTTTCTTCGTTGCTGTAGAATTAGGGGTGGAGTTAAAAAAATATTCAGATATTTATTGTCTTTTTCAGCAGCCTTTCCTCTCACTTGAGCAAAACTCCTCCAAAAATTAACAAGCTTATTTGTTGTTTTTCTTTTACAGCTGACAGTGCACCCAGGAACCACAGTTACAAGCAGTCATTGATTTGTTTCCTGCTTGAGTACCATAAAACATTTTTCAAGAAATGGAAGGAGATAAAGGGCAGAGTGCTAAAGCTACCAGTGCGGTGGGTGACCTGAGGAAAAGCTGGCAGACCTGGGCAGAGGATCACATTGAGTATCAGAGAAAGAACCCATTCAGCAGCGAGGACAGGCTTGCCTCTAAACCTGCGCACACTCACCGAGGAGATCCTACCTATGGGAGACCCCCTGAAGGGTCTCGGACAGAGCAGAGAGGGAAAGATGCTCACTCACACGTGGGCAAGGAAGTAGAAGAGCTGTGCTTGATCATTAGAAGCACTGGACAGGTGGGAGAAGATGGACACGTGAGTGTGACATTTGGGCAGCTGTTTGAAACATATGTGACTATTTCCAATAAAGTAGTGGGAATCTTGTTAAGAGCCAGAAAACATGGTCTGGTTCATTTTGAAGGTGAAATGCTTTGGCAAGGAAAAGATGATGATGTGGTTATCACTTTACTACAATAAGGCTTTGTCATGGAATGAATTTTGCACGGTTCCATTTGGACAAACATACCTAGATACCATCTTGAAAGGTTTTCATTGCAGGATTTCAGCTGAGCTACCTACTGGGACATGAGCAGGAGAGAAAACTGGTGAGAAGGATAAAGCATATTTTTGTAAAAATGGTAGAGATTTGGACAGAAATCACAAATGATAAGCTAATCCATCACGCTGCCAGTGGATTGTCCTTATCATCTACTACTATGTATATCACAGTTCTTCAGATGACTCCGCTGGCTTACTGCTTTTAGGTTATTGAAAGGATATATAACTAACTTTCTACCGTTCAACACTGATCCTTACAGGTTGTGAGATACTTGCTGCATGGGGGATTGGGATTTGTAAAATGTGGAATTGAAAACTTTTGTGGGAATTCATATACTTCCTCAAACAAAGAGCCTGGATATATTTAGGTTCAATTTCACACTGTTAAATTGAATAAAAGGAAGCTATTTTCATGAAGGAGAAAAAAAAATCCCAAACTTAGAAAAATATCACAGCAAGGATATTTGATGGTTCCTCAATTAGTTGCACCTTGCATGTATTTTGGAGAGCTGCACTAGTCCTGGTATTTAATAGTCAACTCTTATATTTTCTCCAAACCTTCTGTGTCCTTTGTTCTTTTTCTTCTGTATCTCACACCATTTTTACCTCTTCTGTTCTCCCAATGCTGTGTCATACCCTAGAAGGTCACAAAGCTCTGCAGTTATTTTGGTGGATTCAGCTATACCCCTTCATAGGAAGTAAGGTGCCACAATGTAAAGATGTGAAAGACAACAGAAATTCTGTATTGGGGAACCTGCACATTCATAAGAAAAAAAAGGCTCTTCTTTCAGAAAAAGGAGGTAATGTTTCTAATGAGAGGAGAGATCCTGTACTGCCAAATGCATAAATAAAAATACAGCAGTGCAGTCCCATATCATGCTTACTAAAGCTGTGTTTTCAGAGCACTGTTGTGAGTTCTCCAAACTTTTTAAAGTAAAAAAAAAAAAAAAAGGATTGATTATATAAAACAGTTGTAATAATGCTATTGAAAATAAGCGGGAGCTGTATTTACAATAGTTCCCACTCATAAAGCTGTATCATTAGAAATCTGAAGTTCTGGTTTTTATCATTGCAAATAAAAGCTTCTGTGTGGTGTTAACTACACTACTTGATGGGTCTTTAAAGATACTCTCTTGCATCAAAAGGATATTAAAATTTAATATAAATTATGAACTTGATAAAAGTGATGTTACTTTATGCTATTTATATAAAAGAACTTTTATTGCAAAAAGCCTAAAAGAATGGTTTTTTGTTTTGACATTTTCATCTAGTTGGGATTTGCATCAGAGTAAGCCTTTGGACTGAGCAAATAAGAATACAGATTTCATTATCACTGCCTTCTTTTTTTTTTTCCTAGTGAGAGACAATGAAAATAGGAAAAAAAGAAGAAATGAATGTGCTGAAATAAGTCTGGGAATATCTGGGAAACAAAGGAGTCAGATGTAGGTAGAAAATGGATGGGGAAACAAAGGGTGGGTTTTAACCACCACATAATTTTATCATGTTGGAAACTGGGGAATATGTGCTGCATCAGGCATTGCTGGTGTGTGTCCACTTAGTTTTCAAACTCACCACTTCTTCCAAATAAATCTCTGTCTTGCAGCTGAAAACAAGGCATGTCATTTGTGATCTTAAGACATTTAAAATTATTTGATTTTCTTGGAAAAGTGTTTCTTGCCAAAATGACATGAGCAGACCTCAGGAGATTTCGCCTCAAGCTTTTTATAAAGCAGCTATGGAATGACTTTTATTTAATTCTGTCAGTTCTGACATTCAGTCCGTTCTGCTGTAGTGTTAGTTCATAGCTTGAAGGAAGCAGCATCAGGTGGCAGATGCTTACACAGCCTCTGATACACTTTCTTCTGCTGCTGGTTGGTTTAAATACCCCTTGAGTACATCTACAAGAGCTTTAGGCACACCTCTGATCAAAACAGATGGAAACAGAACAAGCCCTTAATGACATGGTCTTACCTACTTTGTAAGGCAACTAAAAAACCCTTGCTCGATCACTTTATTTTGAATAAAACTAAGGATTGTTATAGAAAAAAAAAGATTATTTACAGCAGGTTGGTGGTTTTTTTAAGCCATTATGGGGCCACATTTCCTACCTGCCAGCTTTAGATGAGCATTCTAGAAAGAGTGACTGAAATCTTTCTATGTGCCCACACAATGATTATAAACACCAAGCTGCCAAACTGGGTCAGCGTCCAGGTTGACAAATCTGATCTCGTGCTCCCAGTAATAGCCAGTATTCAAAAAAAAACCAGCTAAAAGATAGGTAATACAATTGGTTGGCTTACCCATTGGTACACTCTGGAATAAAAAATTGCTCCTGAAGGCTGTATAGTCATGAATGCATCATATCTAATGCACATGACTCAGTTTAGCTACTAGTTTACAAGTTTTACAAAATTCTGTTTCCTCATCTGTGATGTGATTAATTAGCATCTATGGATGAAATGGGAATGTAAACTTTTCAACACACAACTTTTTTTTTTTTTTTTCAGCAGGCTTCCATTAAACAGAACAGAATTAACTGAATTATTTTTGCAAAAATTGTAGCACATGAGGGGTTTTAGTATAACAGATTATTTGGAGTAGTAAGTAAACTCCAACACTCTAAAAGGTGTTCTTGCCCTATTCTGGGTAACTTTCAGGTCTTGAAATCTCTCCAAAACTTCACTTCTACGTGGCAGGCTCTCTCAGTGGTCTTTCCTCTTCTTTCCCTTGAAGGCTATGAACTCTCCATCTGTTTTGGACTGTACATTGTACAGGGATTATCTGTGGGTTGTCTGGTCAAACACTGAAGGCACTTTCCCCATTTCAATAAATGTTGCACATCAGTTTGAAATGACGGGTTTTATGCAGCATTTTATTGTTTTCAAGTTTGTCTATTTTCAAATACTGTTTTCACTTATTTTCTCCCATTTTTACGCTTTTATTTACAGCTCGCACTTAAAGACTTTGGAATAGTTTGGGGAGCTATTACTAATTTAAGCACATTGAAAATGCCGTGCATGGTCAAAACACAAACTTTTTCATTTAATCTTAATTTAACAGCATTGTATGTGTATCTATTTCATCCTTTCAGAGGGAGCCTTTAGTACTTCAGCATAACAGCATTATTTTTTGGGTTCACATTAGGTTGGGAGTTTATGTAAAACAACTGAGCAAAACAGTACAAATAAAGCTTTGTCATTCCTAAACATGAGGTCAAAAAAGCAGCTTTTCTCAGGATTGCTAATACTGGATCAAAGAACAGAGCTGGGGCAGTGGCTAAACAACTTTGCTTCTCCAGGATCTTGGAGAGTAAGAGCTACTGTGTTCACTCTCCTTACTGATCTTTGCTCCTTGGAAAGCTCTACAGATGATTTTTTAAGTTTTAAAATAACTAAAATCTTCTGTGGAAGACGGTGACATAGTTAATGGGATTTGCCCATTGTAATTCAGAACCGCATTCAAAGTATTAGGATAGGCTTTTCACAACGTATTTCTTTGCCTAATTAAAAAAATTATCTGCAGAGTCCAAGAGTGCTTGTCAATGTGGAAGGAAAACGAACACAGTTCTGTGCTGAAAAACGCTAACGAGATGCTGAGCGTTCCTCGGTAATTAATGTCCCTCTGCTTAACACTTTGTTGTTTGAGCTAGTTTGAGGCCTGTCTATTTTGCTGTCAGGGATAAGTGAGATTCTCCATCTCGTTCATCAGCAAAACTCTGGAAGCTAAAATTATATCCATATTTTTATCTTTCCAGTCTTATCATCATGAGTGCAACCCTTCTCAAAAGTTAAGATACAAAACTTGACCTTTGTGCTTCTGTGAACATCAGCCGGCGTACTGAGTCTGGCTGGGACGGAGGTCACTTTCTTCAGAGCAGCCCATGTTTCGGGTTTGTCTGGAACAGTGTTGGTAACGCAGCAGCGTTCTGGCGACTGCTGAGTAATGTGTGCACAGCATCAAGGCCGCCTCTTTTTTCTGCTCTGCCCCCTCCGGTGGGCAAAAAAGTGTGGAGTGGGCACAACCTGCACACCTGACACCGACTGGCCAGCAGGGATATTCTGTGTCATACAATGTCTGCTCAGCAATAAAAGCTGAGGAGAGGGCCTTTTTTTTTTGGCAGGGGGGTGGGGGGATTACTACTGCCCTACTTGTGGGAGGTCATGGGAGGATTACGTTTGCATTGCACACCTTGGCTTTTTTCTTCCACTTTCCTTCACATATTAAACTGTTTTTATCTCAATCCATGAGTTTTCTCATTTTGCTCTTTCTACTCTCCCATCCTGCTGGGGTCAAGGGTGAAGAGTGAGCAAAGGGCTATCTAGGGTCAACCCCACCCCCCCAGCAACTATTCCATTGCACTGGAAGATCATTCCAAGATTAGCATTTATTCTGTTTATTAATCCTTTTTGACAACAGTTCGTGTTGGTACTTTAAATATTACATGTCACAGTTAAGTACAGTTACATAAATTAATTACAAATCAGAACACATGCACAGTATTAACTCTTGAAAGACCTTAATGTTCAGGTACTTCCGAAAGCTAGAAGCCAGCTCAAACCTCCTCATCTATTGCACAGAAGTAGTTAAAATTCAGTGCTTTAAGTCACACTTTTCCTACCAAATGTTAGAAACTAAAACCCTAAAAGGCTGCAAATTACATGTGAGTGGCCACTAATAAGAGTAACAAGACATTAGGAAGAAGATCTTACAGACAGAGAGGCGTAAACTCTTCCAGGTAGAAAATGCTGTTTCTTCAGACAGATGGGAACTCTCCTAAGTACTGTAAGAATATTACAATACATTTTATCACTAAGGCAACGGGTGCTGGATCTGTGGAGAACACAGAATATTATGTTCAGGGAAGCTTGCAGGTGGAACAGACATCATCACCTCAGCTGCATCTAAATGCATCAGGCAAGGGCACTTGGTTAGTTTGACACCAAGACATGCTCTGTGAAAAAAGAAAATCCACTCCATGTTTTCTAGAGTTTTAACTTTCCAAACAGTCTGCCTTATTATGGTATTGAAAAACAAAGCACTGGCATTCCCAATTAGAGTCATACAGCAAAGGCAAATGTTCAGCAGGTTCCTTAAGCAACTCAACAGTTGAGTTTTCCAGTTTTGGGCTGAGTCCTTGCTATCCCAAATTCAAATCACATTGCTCTTATGTAAGCTTGCCACACATCCACTGCACTAAGGACCTGTTTCTATTATGACTTCACTTAGAATCCAAATTCAGCCAAGGCATTAGTAATCTCCAAGGAACTTCCAGTGAAAACAATATCAGACAATTTGGATTTTTGTATTTACTGCCATACAGAAGAGCAGTGTATTAAATCCGTTCCTCTGAACTCTTCACGTTTTTGGTAAACATACAGTAACTAGTTTCAAACATTGTGCATATCAGAGGGAAAAAAAAAAACCCTTTAAGTCTAACATACAATCACCTACACATAAACTATATTCAGTGTTATGCAGCATTATCACATTTTGGGCACATCCTGTATTGACATTTACTATGTCACTGTGATGCAAACAAGTCAGGTAACATTGAAGTGGTTTAGCACCAGAAAGTTAGTAGTGGACTTTTGGCAACATACCTACTAATAACTAGGCATAACTAACATATTGTACAAATGTAGACGGAAACTTAAAAGTCTTAACGTTACCTGCAATTCCAGAACAACGCATCCTGAAAATGGAAGCTTGATTCCGCAAGAAATACTCCCTCTGGCACCACGTACATGCTGTTAGTTGTAACTTGTTGCCTTAGCTGCAGTACATTCCGCTACTGTACCCTGCTTTTCATTAAGAAAAGTTCTCTGCCTGTGTGCATATGCATTATGTATGTACATACACAAATGTAAAATTATAATTAAATACATTGAGTTACTGCCAGGGAAGTACACAGACTGAAGTATTCAAAGGAGAATAAGGTTGGCAGATACAAAATCTTTGTGCCTTTCCTCATAAGGAACTAAAGCTTTTTTTATCCTGGAATATTATTGGCAACATCAAACTGTGCAACCTTAAATCAGAGCTCAACGACAAACTGGCTAACGACACAAGTTTTCAGCTGGCAGCATTTTCACTTTGCAGTCTCTCAATCAGCTGTTCGGCCTAGGATAGAGGGAGAGAAAGCAATGTTTTAACTACACTGTGGGCCTTCAGTTTACCTAAAATTCCATTTTAAAAACAGCGATGCTGACAGAGCGTTTACTTTGCACTTTTACAGACAGAGCATACAACCAAAGCAGAATACAACAACCGCTTTCAACAGCGGATTCTCACAGTTTCCATCGAACTCCCACGAGGTGATCAGAAGAGTTAACATGACCTGTGAAAGTCAGAGGATGCTGGAGCAAACAAACAGTAGATCTGTTAAAGCACTGTGATTTTAAAGACCTCAGAAAAAAAGAAGTGCTCATAACAACCAAGTGGTGAGACCTAGGATTCGCTGTGAGATGCTCCAGAGCAGAGTGTTGTGAGGTCTCATCACCCAGCAAGCTGCACAACAGCCACACACGATGCTGAGAGGTGGGGAGTGTCCACGTATGTGGTTGATGTCACAAGATACATGTCATTCTTTGGTCATGTCACTACACTCAGACATGCTTTTCTCATACGGCTTTTCTCATCACATCTAGGGCAGAAGTGGGACAGCTGTGTTTTGTACACCAGCAGCACCAGCTCACCAAGCCCTCAGAAAGGCTCAGGGCAGGACAAAGTCTGCCAACAACCAAGCCAGACTGAGCCCATGGGCACTTCTGAAACAGATCAGTTTACTGTCAGCCTTTCCTTTTTTTGACAGTCCTACTGAATTAAACTTTTAATTTGAGCTAGTGCTTGAGGTTTTATTGAGATCTCCAAAGGAACTACATTAAGAGGTGAAAAGTTTAAGTTTGGCACATTTTAAATACATACACAGTAAAAATGCAATCAGCTACTTAGGGTAGGAACTTAATGGGACTTCAGTAGTTACTGCGATTTATTTGCAGTAAATAAAAGCTACATAAAACATGGAGTAACTGAAAATGGAGTTATCTAAGTCCTGATTTGCATTCTGAGACAAATACCACATTCAAGACACTATAATTAAAAACACCAAAATCAAACCTTACCCAGCACCAACCCAAGAACATTTTTCAACTTGATAACAGGGCAAAATACCTTTTAAAGGGCATCCATATTGAATAACCAGACTTTGTACAGATCTCCCTGAGCTAATTCAAAATAATAAGCAGTAAAACTACACAGCTATGCTTATTTTAGGGCCAAATATTTGTAACATGCTCAACAACACAGCAGACACACCTGCTTTTTTTAAGCTGAGATCTTCAGGGAGGTACCACTGTGAAGAAGTCAAGTTTTTTCTCTTTAAGTAAGAGGCTGTCTACATTCTTTAGATGAGACAGACATTTTTCAGCAACTTTCACTGGGGCTGTGTAATTATACCAGGATGCTGCAGCTACATTGTAAGGACAGGTGCTTTGCTGTATCAAAGCAGTGAGAGTGAGATCTCGAAAGAGAGATTTTCAAAATGCTTTAGTCAGTGCCAGTTCAGTTTCACTGCTTATCTCAACTGGCGTAAATCAGCAAAAGCTGACACAAAACAGTACAAACTATGTTTCTGTAAAGCAGACACTTGTTTTATTCTAAAGACGACAAGATGAACTGATAAATGCAATCATCAGGTGGATATGTTTTCACCTACACCGGATGAACCAGAATATGTACAAAACAGTCCATCACATTTGAACATAAGCTTTTAAATTAAACTCCAAATATTTACAAAGTGTCCGAAGAAGCACATCACAGAACCTGAGCTTCATGTAAGATCCAGAAGTACTATACTGTGTGCTGTTATTAGCCCTCCATTCCCTGTAATAGGTGAAAACCTTAATGTTTATGCTATTATGTTTTCCTCAAATAATTCATGCAAAATACACATAATTAAGAATTATAGTAACAACAAAAATCATCCGTCAGAGCTAAAAGGTTAGAAAGACATCACATTTTCAGCTTGCAACTGAAAACCTACCAAAAACCTAACGTGCATTACACTCACCGTTATGAACCAGTAGGAATTGATTCTGTAATACAGCCTGGATAAGAATCCTAGCTGACTGGCTGGGGCCAGGACGTGAAGATGCAAGTGCGATATTGAGCAGAATGGAGGCCAGTGAAAACCCATTCTTTAGAAAAGGAAAAGAAGTAAAAGGTATTGGTCATGTTAATTCAGGAAGAAGTTGAACATTGCAGGTTATTTAACATGATAACAGAATTCACAACTCATCACATTTTCCTTGTACATAAAGGCAAGAACAAAATTCGTTATATCACAAAAAAACCTTTTCAAAAACCTGTTAACCTCCTCCCTCACATCTCTGTATTTAAGACACATTTTTTTAAAAAACAAGAAACAAGTATTTAAATGTATCCTATCAAGTTTGCAGCTGGAAAACAAACTATCGATTTTAATCATGAAGGCCCGGCTACCTATTTCTCTATACTGTTCAAAGTATGTTACAGTTTACTTCAGCTATCAAATGCACTGCCTTAAACTACAGGGTCCAGCACTGAAAGAAATGAATGCAGGTATGACTGAAACACAACGCAGTGCCCTTGAATACCTCTCTCCTGGCATCTAGGATTTAGAGCATACTCTCAGCATATAAAGAGAAAGCAGCCTTTTAGTAAGTGTCCTCCCTATTACAAGATAAGCTTGTTAAAGAATTTCAGAGCTGGAATGGAATCTGCACTGGAATTTTATCAGACAAAAAGTTTATATTCAATGCCAGCAGATTCTACTTGAGAAGTCATGCAATAAGTGAATGCAGACCCAATTTCTTCAATAAATCATACTGCAGTTTTTGCCACCATCTCTAAATTAACATTCTGAAAAGTAAAAACCATGTTCAATAGACAAAAGGTTCCCATTACATACCTTACATCATTCAAGTCACTAAAATTATTTTTCTGGAGGACAGATTTTCCAACTTCCATCATTCTCTTCACTATTAAACAAAAATAAATTTGATTTAAAAAGGTATTCTTCAGAATTCCAGACTAAGGTATTCTTCAGA